TGAAAGGTAAAAATTCTTGCCATTCTTAAAAAAGAGAGCTTAAAAAAGCATGTAAAGCTAAGGAAAGCAAATTTTTATTGTTAACTAATTCTTAAAATACAAAATAAATTATAGAAGTTAATTGTCAGTGTAAAGTCTAATAATAGCTTTTGTCACTGATCTCTACTGATTGTGTTGCTCTCTCCCTACATATGAGATGTAACAAACCCTGAAATTATTGGAACTAATGGAACTATTCCATTCATCTTCTCTACTACTGTTCCTTAATTTTTTTCCTTTCAAAATTTGTAAATTTCTCCTCACCTCATCTTCCTTCTCCCTTATTTTTCTTCTGCTAAGCTTACTTTTCTATTATCAAAACTCATTGGGTTTTCCTCTTTTGTTTTGTGTATTATCAACATTGTACCTAGAGTGTACATGTAGGTGAAATCATCAATACTTTAAATTTATTTTTGACTTATTCAGCTTTACACAATTCTCATAAACTCCTGTTTGTTGCAGGTGACATCATTTTATTTTTTAAAAAAAGTAGTTAAGTAGCATTTTATTCTATAAACATTTTATCAGATCATCTTTCAACAGCACTTTGCTTCCATATTTTAGTTTTACATATAAACTACAACAAATATTGGGATGAATATACCTTTTTTTGGTTCAGGATTGCTTATGCTCAAGAATTATTCCTGGCTCTGTACATAGGAATCACTCCCAACTATGAATGTCTGGGATCAAGTGCTGGGAATCTAACTGGGTAGGCTACATACAAGGCTAGAACCTTAACCCTCTCTCTCTGGCCCCAGGAATATACTTTTCTGTGCTGAGATTTCCATATTATTTGGATAAATAACTAAAAGTGGAATTATTAGGTCATATCACTTCCATCTTTAGCTTCTTAATTTTCTATTAAAAATATTTTTGGTTTAAAAAATGTATTTTTGGTTTTTGCACCTCACCTCATGATATTCAGGGGTCACTTCTGGCTCTGTACTCAGGAATTAGTTCTTGCAGGGTTTGGTGGGGACCCTATGGGATGCTAGGGATTGAACTCAGGTTGACCATGTGCAAGGCAAGTGCCCCACCTGCTGTACTATTGCTCCAGCCCCTTTCTTCTGTTTCTTGAAGCTCCATAACATTTTCCAAAGTGTCTGTCTTGGCTGGAAAGGTTTCACAGGGGTTAAGGTTCCTTGCATGTGACTGACCTTGGTTCCATCTTAGGCACCACATGGCCCTCCAGAATTGAAGGATTAAGTCTTGGATCTGAAATACTGGTGGGGCAACCTGGTTAATACTTGGGATCACTGGGCTTAAGCAACAACATAGCAACACAGTAAATGTGGGCTGAATTGACTGTGAATCACCAGGTGAGCCACCGGGCCTTTTGAACTCACCTTGGGAGGCCACTCCCAAAAGAGAAAACGGTCTAATTTATATCCAGATTCACCAGAACCATTTATATCCATACCATCTCCAACACTGACTATTCTGGTTATAATGAAAACCATTTTTGCAGGTAGAGTGGAATTTTACTTTGATCTTAATCTGCATGTCCCTGCTGTTTATTAATGCTCACATATGTCTAATAGCCGTGTATATGTCTATTCAAATCTTCTGCCCACTTTCTGATTTAGTTTTATGTTAGATTGTATGGTTTCCTAACAAAATCGGCTGTCTTTTCATAGTGTATTTTTATTATTAATTTTACTGTTAGAGTTAGGGTGAGGGTTATTTTTGGCCTCCCAAGAGTGCTCAGGGGAGTCAGGGGCTAATCCTGGTGATTCTCAGTCAACCAAACATTTGGTTGAATGACAGAGACTCAGGATGTTGGTGCTGCTTTGTCCCTGGACTCCCGGTGGCCACCAGGGCTTTACTCTGGGATGTTGGGGGCCCAGGTGGTATTGCGGTCTGCACTGGGGTCAGGTATATGCAAGGAATGCACCTTGTTTTACTAGACCTTACCTTTTAATTATTTTAAAAATTATTATTTGTACAGAATCTTTTCAATAATTACGGTTTCAGTTGTTCACTTTGCTTTCCTTGATGACGGGACCAAAACTCAGCAACAACTCTAACAGAAATGACATGGGGCATTTCACCTATATTGTCTTCTATGGACTTGTGGTTTTGGGGTTATGTACATGGGGTTAGAAAATAGCTCATGTGGCTACTCTCTTTTTCATGTTGCTGTACAGTTTTCTCAACTCATTTACTGAAGAGTTTATCTTTGCTCCATTGTAAGGTCTTAGATTCCTCACTGCGAATTAAACATTCATAAATGTGTGGTTTAAATGTCTGCATTTAAATTCCATTTTACTGATCCATGTATCTATTTTCAGTCCAGTACCATGAACAATTTTATTCGATGCATTTTCATGTTTTTATATGCTTTCACAGAAACCTAAGTATTTTTGTTTTATTTCCTTAAAAATGTTAATGAAATTTTTATTGCAATTGTATTAAATATGATTTTATTTTGGTTAAATTTTTTACCTACACTAATTTTCATTTATGTACATGGAATGTCTTTGCATCTCTTACTATCTTGTTCATTGCTTTTTAACAGTGTCTTATAGTTTTTTGGCATTTAGTTTCTTCACCTTCTTGATTTAATTTATTTCAAGGTATTTAATTTATTATTATTGTTGTTATTGCTTTTTGGGTCTCACCCATGCACAGGGTTTACTCCTAGCTCATGCACTCAGGAGTTACTCCTGGCAGCACTTGGGGACCATATAGGATGCTGGGAATCGAACCCAGGCTGGCTGCATGCAAGGCAAATGCCCTACCCACTGTGTTATCACTCCAGCCCCAGTATTTTATTTTTTAGACACAATTCTTTATCTTGGAAATTTTATGCAATTATAAATGGGATTGCTCTATTAATCTCTTCTCGTCTCTTCTCTTCTCTTCTCTTCTCTGCTCTTTCTCTTTCTCTTCTCTTCATTATTTGCACATAAGAATACGACAGAATTTTGTAAATTGTTAGCCACTATGTTGTACTCATTGTTTGTTGTAGCTTTACAATAGAATGTTTAGGGTTTTCCATATATATAATTAGTCATCTTCAAACAATGATAATTTTGCTTTTTTATTGATCTGGGTTACTTATGTTTCTTGATATCATCCAAATGCTCTTGTTATGGTTTCTAATGTGAAATTAAACAGAAGTGGTGATGGAAAAAGTTTTGTCTTTTTGCTTATTAAAAATTTAATTAATCATTCATTTATATAAGGGTCACACAAGACAGGACTTGAGGGTCTCCAGAGCTGCTACTTCTGGTAGTGTTTGGGATAGGGGTTGTCTGAAGATCAAACTCAACCCCTCACAGGTTCTAGGGGGGTATTCCACCTCTTGAATTATCTCCCCGGCCCCGTTGATCCAAATGTTTTTAAACATTTCAGGGGCATAAGAGATAGTACAGGGATAAAGTGCTTGCTTTGCATGTGTCTGATCTGGGTTCAGTCCTTGGCATCTCATATTCAAGCCTTGATACTTCTTGGTACCCATGAGGAGTGACCCCTGAGTGCAGAGGCAAGAATATGAACACTGCTGGGTCTGGCTCTCCCAATCCCTCAGTATTTCTCACAAGGGCATATGAGGGTTATTAATTGCTTTTATTTTTATTTACCTGTAAATTTTTTTAGCCTGATACCCTCTGTAAGAATCTGGCAGTGTAGAGTATTCTTGTTTAAAAATCCATTCCTTCAGAATTTCTGGTATTTTTTCCTCATCTTGTATGGTTTCTATAGAAATGTTCATGGATAATCTTTGGAATTCTCTTTAATTTAATTTGATTTTCCTAGATAATTTTTGTAGTGTGTCTTTTTCTTTAGTTTTGAGCACTTCATTTATAATGTCTTGGTGTGTGTCTGTTTGGTCATATTTTGTTTGGGTCTCTGAACCTCTTGTATTTAGGTGGTTAATTTATTTATCAAATTCTTGACAGCTATTCCTTCAAAATAGGATTACTGTTACTTTCTTCTCTTCTTTTAACGTGGTTATGCTTTTTTTTTGTTTTGGCTTTTTGGGTCACACCTGGAGGTGCTCAGGGGTTACTTCTGGCTCTACACTCAGGAATTATTCTGGGCAGTGCTCAGGGGACCATATAGGATGCCAGGAATAGAACACAGGTTGACCATGTGCAAGGCAAATGCCCTCCCTGCTGTACTATCGCTCCAGCACCATGGTTATGATTTTTAACGCTTTAGTTACATAAGACTGTTACTTTGCTTTCATGTTTTATAATTCTTTTTTCTAATTGCTATCATGCTTCGTTGTATTCTACTATCACATTTTCAAATTAGCTTTGAAGACATTGACTATTTCCTGTTTACCCTTTTATTCCTCTTTTGTATTTTTTTTACTTGGCTATTTTTAGGTTTTTAAAATTTATTTGAAGCTTTTAAATAGCTTTTATATTTTTGCTATAAATTTTATGTGACTTGTGTACTGTTTTTATAGAACATTATTTTAAGTGTTTTAAACATTTTTTAAGGCAGGCAACTCAGTAGAAAAGTTTGGTACCTTTTTACATTTAGTGCTCCCTTGGCAGTTACTAGGGCATAAATCCGAGTTTCCAGTGTTTCATGCTTCTCTGGAGGAAAACCTTCCTCCTTCCCCCTCAGATTATGGTATTCCTCTCAAAGAAATTTGTTCTTACATGGATGAATGCAATCAATATTGCAACACTCTTAACTAGATATTTGTTTCTGCTTGTCTATAGTCTATTTAAACACAGAAACTAAAGATATCTTTTCAAGATGTGCATGACATGCTTTTGACAATCCTGTTTTTGTTCAATGTCACTTTTCAGTGAAGGCTTTCCCTTCAAACTGCAAAAAATCCCCATCATGTTTAGTGTCCCTTTTAGCAACAATTCAACTTTTCCTCTGATCTTTGAAGATAGTATTGCACAACTTGTTAAGATATATATTAAGTGTTGACTGTACGTTTCTTCTCTGACATACTTGCCCTTTGTATTCACACTCCTTCTGTTAGCAACATGGTGGTCATCTTTGACGAGGTGGTAAAGCGTTTACTGAGACAGGTGGGGAAAGAAGATCTGAAACCAGTTACCGATCTAAAAAGTGCTAAGAAATTCCATCACTTTAATGTGTTACGGAAAAAGAAGAATAAACTCTCATCATTTTGGAACCCGCCTGACATTCCTGCTGGATTCTCCCTCCTGGACATCCTGGATCAAAGTTCTCCAGTCCCAGGTATTGTCAGTTAGCAACAAGGAAGGCTAGAGGTGAAAATGCAGCTGCTCAAGTAAAGGTTTGATAGCATGCAAGGTGAAAGTCACCCACACAGGTCAACAATAGGCTCAGCCTTGATGAAAGATGAGAAATAAAGATCTAAGACTGATAATTTAACAATCATGTGAATCTAGATTCATATGACTTAGTTTATTACAACACCTCAAATGAGAATTTATTTACACAAGAATAAAACAAAGCATAGAAAATAACAGTTTCAAGTTATACACATGGGAGCTAGTAGAACTAGGATCCACACCCAGGTCTGCCCAGTCATGATTTCCATTTTCTACTTTATGTTCTGTCAACTGGGTCTGTCTCCTGATACCTGCCACAGAGATGGCATGGATCTCCTAAACTATCAAGTTTTAGGACACTCTTCCTGTTACCCAGCCCTTGGTGGATTCAAATATATATCTCAATCAATAAATTTGATTTAGTTGGTTAGTTAATTTCCTTACTGAAAAATTTGAATCATGGTTCTTAACCCCCAATTGTAGACCATTTTCAGCCTGCAGATGTAGAAAGGTTGAAAACCAGTGGTTATAACTGCTGGTCTATGGACTGCTATATAGACTGGTTTTGAATCTCAAATGAAAAGAAATTGAAGAATGTGACTGAAATCTGAAGGAGGGTTGGTGCAAGTTAATTATAAATTATTCCATTACCTCATTATTATCATTATTATTACCTTATTATTCCATAAGTTAATTTTTAAATGATTCCATTACCATTGCTATGCCAGCTGACTCATAGCTTATCTTGGACAAATGTATGGTTAATTTTTCTTTATGCAGATCCTTCCAGAGAAGGCCCATTCATCTACAAAGACAATATGGTTTGGAAAGGAGAGGGTGATATGACTATCAATGCAGGAGTTGGGGCACAAGTGGCAGCATCAGGGGAAACTAACAAGTCATATGAATCCATCCTCAAGTTTCAGATTAATGAGATCACAACAAAAACCTGGACAGACCTTCGTTCAAGGTAAGACTGTCATAGAAAAAAAACCAGGGAGTTGGTTTGCAAAATACCCATCCTTTAGGATAAAGAGGCATTGTTCAGCCTTGATAGACACAGCATAGAAATGGGGAAAAATGTCATTCTAGATTAATTTGTTCTTTGTGTGATAGCACAGAGGGTAGTGAGTTTGCCTTGCAAGCAGCCAACATGGTCGACCCCAGTTCGATTCCTCCGCCCTTCTCAGAGAGCCTGGCAAGCTATGGAGAGTATCTTGCCTGCACGACAAAGCCTGGCAAGCTACCCATGACATACTCGATTTGCCAAACACAGTAACAATTGTCACAATGGAGACATTACTGGGCCCGCTCCAGCAAATTGATGAACAACAGGAGGACAGTGGCAGTGACAGTGACAGTGTTTGTTTCATTATCATTACTAATTGTATTTGAAGAGAAACAGAAATTTGTGGGGCTGGTGGGGTGGGTGGAATAAGAAATCAATCATTAAAAACATAGTGAATTTTGAAACTTGGGATTTGCCATTCCTTTACTTGATGGGATGCCCTCCTTTCTTTTTCTTCTCTATTTCTTCTCATATATTCTAAGTAAAACAATGTTTTATGCAGAAAATGAAATTAACAAAGTACTAATATAAGTACTAATATAATGGGCTGGAGCGATAGCACAGTGGTAGGGCGTTTGCCTTACAAGCGGCCAACATGGCCGACCCGAGTTCGATTCCTCCACACCTCTCGGAGAGCCTGGCAAGCTACGGAGAGTATCTCGCCCACATGGCAGAGCCTGGTAAGGTACCCGTAACGTATTCAATATGCCAAAAACAGTAACAACAAGTCTCATGATGGAGACATTACTGGGCCCGCTCCAGCAAATCGATGAACAACGGGAGGACCGTGACCGTGACTAATAGAAGAAAAAATCTAATTAATTATGTAAATTAGCATCTGGGGTTAATTTTTAAAAAATTTTTTTTTAAGCTGATGTCATTTTGTATGTGCATTGAAAACTTCCTGCAAAGGGTTGAAAGCCAGTCACAGATTGCACACAGGAACAAAGGGCTAGGGGCCTAATGGGATATGGTTAAAGAAGACTGATTGTTTCCTGCTATAAACACTTTTTATTGCTTCTGTAACAATGCTTGCTTCACTGAGCTTATGTGATCTTAACAGGTGCCAGGATGTGGACCCTGGTGGGCAAAAAAGTTTTTTAGGTGCTTACAAAAGTGCTCAGGGCACTAGGATAAGGATTTTAATAAAAGGCCAGTGCTTCTGCAGTAAGGCTGCTGCCCTTGCCTAGAAGGACAGCCCTCCAGCTGGTGTCAGTAAAAATTCCTCCAAATTCTAATTTTGGTCTCTTATGGTCTTCTGGTAACACCTCCACAATAGCACCACATGTGATTCCTCATGTACTGAAGCACGGAGCCAGGAATAGCCCCTGAACAACATAAATGTTGCCCCAAACCAAATCAAACCAAAATAGAACACAGTGCAACCTGAACTATGGATTCATTAATTTTGGGGTTATATTTTTTGTCTCTTACATTTTTAAATTGAATCCCAATGAGATTCACAGTTACAAAGCTGTTCATGGTCAGATTTCAGTCATACAATGTTCCAACATCCATCCCTCCACCAGTGTATATTTCCTACCTCCCATGTCCCCAGTTTCCCTCCCCCCCACTTCTCTCTCTCTCTCTTCTTTTTGACATTATGGTTTGAAATACAGACATATACCAAGAGGTTATCATGTTTGTTTCTTCACCTGCTTTCAGCACAGAGTTCTTATCTAAAGTGATCATTTCCAACTAACTTTGTCATAGTTTGAATTGGGTTAGGTCATTCCTCTCATCTCCCCCCCCCCCATGACTGCTTTAACTATTCATGGGTGTTTATTGTTTCATATGAATTTCAGGAGTGTTTGCTCTATTTCTTTTTTTTTTATGTAGGAGTACTGCTATTTATTCAGCCATGTTTGCTATATTTCTTTGAAAACATGTAATGGGTATCCTTATAGAGACTGCATTGGATCTGTTTAATGTTTTGGAGATTATTGACATTTTGACAATGTTAATCTTTTCAATCCATTAGCTGGAGATTCGTTTTCATTTTCTTGTGTCTTCCTTTATTTCTTGACTTAGTGTTTTGTAATTTTCTTTGTGTAGGTCCTTTACCTCCTTAGTTAAACTGATTCAGAAGTACTTGGTTTTCTGAGACATGATTGTGAACAGTATTGTTTTTCTAGTAACTCTCTTTTTTCTTTCAGTATTTGTACATAGGAAAGCCATGTACTTTTGGTTATTGATTTTGTAACCTGCCACTCAACAATACAAATATATTATTTCTAGTATCTTTTTTTAGGTAGACTCTTTGGAATTTTCTAAGTATAGTGTCATATTTGCGGCTGCAGGACATCTTATTATCTAATTCTTATTCTGGAGAACCCGGCAGGCTACTGAAAGTATCCTGCCCGCATGGCAGAGTCTGGCAAGCTCCCCATGGCGTATTCAATATGCCAAAAACCAGTAACAATGATGGGTCTCATTCTTCTGACCCTGAAAGAGCCTTGAATGTGGCACTTTCTAAAACCTCAGGGCTAGGACGAAGGAGATGTTACTGGTTCCTGCTCGAGGAAATCGATGAACAACAGGATTACAGTGATACAGTGATAGTGTCATATCATCTGCAATTAGTGAGAACTTGACTTCTTACATTCCTATCTGAATGTACTTAATATCATTCTCTTTGCTAATTGTCATAGCAAGTAATTCCAGTACTATCTTGAATAGGAGTAGTGAGAGTGGACAAACTTGTCTTTGCCTGATCTTAGAGAGAAGGCTATTACTATTTTCCCCATTGAGGTTAATGCTTGCTATGGGCTTGTGGTAGATGGCTTTGACTATATTGAGGAAAGTTCTTTCCACTCCTGATTTTTGAGAGTTATTATCATACATGGGTATTGGATATTGTCAAATATGTTCTCTGCTTCTATTGATAGGATTATGTGATTTTATCTTTTCTTTTATTGATATGGTATATTATGTTGATTGATCTGTAAATGCTATACAAAACTTGCATCCCCAGGATGCATCCTACTTGGTTATGGTGTAGGTTTTTTTTTCATGAGTTGTTGGATACTATTTGCTAGTATTTTGTTGAGGGTATTTTTTTGTTGAGGGATATTAGTCTGTAATTTTATTTTTTGGTTTTGTCTTAGTCTATTGGATATCAGATGATATTTGCCTCCTAGAAATTGTTTGGGAGTTTGTGTTTCTTCAATTTCCTAGCAAAATCTGAAAAGGATTGGCAGTAAGTCCTCTTTAAAGTTTTAAAAGAATTCACTGTTGAATCCATCTGGGCCTGGGCTTTTGTTTTGGGGAAGACTTTTCATTACCATTTCAGTTTCTCAGTTCTGAAAGTCTGTTGGGGTATCTCAAATCTTCTTGATTCAGCTGTCAGAGGTTATAGAAATCCAGGAATTTATCCATTTTTTCAAGGTTTTCTTGTCCTGTGCTGTAAAAATGTCAAAGTAATCTCTGATGATCCTATGCATTTCTGTAGTTTCTGTTGTGAAGTCCCCATTTAAATTTCCAATTTGGCTTATTAGGGTTCTCTATGTTTCTTTGTAAGTTTTGTTAGTGTTTTATCCATCTTGTTCTTTTTTTAATTATTATTAGTGAAACACAATGAGGTACAGTTGTAGACTTACCAACTTTTGTGCTCAGGTTTCAGTTATGGGATGGAGCAATAACACAGCGGGTAGGGCGTTTGCCTTGCATGCAGCCAACATGGCCGACCTGAGTTCGATTCCTCAGCCCCTCTTGGAGAGCCCGGCAAGCTACCGAGAGCATCTTGCCCACACAGGAAAGCCTGGCAAGCTCCCTGTGGTGTATTCAATATGCCAAACACAGTAGCAAGTCTCACAATGTTACTGGGCTCGCTCGAGCAAATTGATGAACAATGGGAGGACAGTGACATTGACAGTTTCAGTTATACAATGGTCGAGTACTGATCCCTTTAATTCTTACTCTGGAGAACCCGGCAGGCTACTGAAAGTACCACCAATGACCCCAGTAGCCTTCCCACCCTTCGAGTTTGAGTGAGAGTATAGCAGGATAAAGTGTTCTTGGTGAAGCAATCATTTGATTGAGTTTTTTCACTACATGCCATCATTGCCTTTGAGTTTGGAGGGTTTCCTCTGATAGTCTGCTGTGAATCTAAGGGGTGCTCCTTTGTATGTGGTTTCCTTCTTTGACCTTGCTGCTTGCAGTATTGTGTCTCTATCCATCATTCTAACTATGATATGTCTTGGAGTGTTTTTGTTAAGGTCTCTTTTAGCTGATACCCTTCAGGCTCCTTGAATCTGGATGCCTGCATTGTCCAGCTCTGGGAACTTTTCAGCAGTGATTTGTTTAACCGTGGCTTTTTCTTTGGGACTGTTTCCCTGACCTTTTGGTACTCCAATTATTCTAATGTTGTTCCTCTTGGAATAATCCCCTAGGACTCTGATTCTCTCTAGAACTATTTTGATGTCTATTTTGATGTCTATTTTGATGTCTCTTGCCATTGTTTGTTGTTGCCTGTAGGTTCATGCAAATCATCTTTCAGCTCACTGATTCTGTCTTCAGCTGTAGTCTACTGTTGAGGGCACAGACTGAGTTTTTTATTTCATCTACGAAATCAAAGCCACGCGGGTTCCGGGGCCGAGACCTCCAAGCCTACTCGAATTGGAGTAGAGCATCTTCCACCCAGATCCTCCAAATTCCAGTAGGCGGGGGTCACACCCACCACCTGGCCCCCTGGCGCCATGTAATCCCATCAGCGGCCAAGACTCAGAGACTATAAAATCCAGATCCCGGACGAGAAGAGTGCAGTCTTCTGTCCCCGCGCCTGGGTGTCCCTTCCCGGGGCCCCTTGGAGGGGAGCGGGTTGAGCTCTCCTCCCTGCCCCGACCAGGGCTCCGGCAGCCGAAGACCTCCAGGACCAGCCACCACCATGCTGAGACCACTCTCCGCACACATGAAGGTACTGGCAGAGGGACAAAGCCACGCGGGTTCCGGGGCCGAGACCTCCAAGCCTACTCGAATTGGAGTCGAGCATCTTCCACCCAGATCCTCCAAATTCCAGTAGGCGGGGGTCACACCCACCACCTGGCCCCCTGGCGCCGTGTAATCCCATCAGTGGCCAAGACTCAGAGACTATAAAATCCAGATCCCGGAACCGCGCGGCCACATTTGCGGCCGAGCGACATCTTATCAGAATTTTTATTATGACATCTTATTGTCTCTTTCCTACTTTGGACAAACTTGCAGGCTATCGAATGTAGCCTGCCCACAGGGCAGAGTCTGGCAAACTCCCCGTGGCGTACCAAATATGCCAAATACCAGTAACAATGATGGGTCTCATTCTCCTAAAGAGCCTTGAATATAATCTCAGGGCTAGGATGAAAGAGACGTTACTGGGGCCTGCTCGAGGCAATCGACGAATAACAGGATGATGAAATGAAATGAAATGAAATGAAACAAAATCTTTTATTTGTGACATTGCTGTGCATAGCTTTCCAATTTCTGCTCTCATCTCTTCTCGTATTTTCTTGATTGTTTCTTTCATATCCTCCTTTAATTTACTGGATATCTGTCTCACTGTTTCATTGAGTACATTGAACATTTTCATTACTTCATATCTGAATTCTTTATCAGAGAGCTCCCTTAAGTGAGTAACACCTAATGAGGCTTCTGGACTTTTCATTGTCCTCTCCTCGCGGTGGGGATTTGCATTGTTTCTTCATGTTGGTGTGGTGGTATGGAGACTGAGATGTTATATGAGATTGCTGGGTATGAGTAATTTACCTTTGGCCGTCTGAGTATCTGCCTGGCTAAAATTAGGCTACTCCCAGTTCTGCAGAGGCCACGCCCACTTCTGAAGAGACCACCCCCCCTATCAGTACCTGGTGTGTGTGGAGGGTATAACCTGGGAGAAGGAGAAAATGAAGTGCAGCATTGGGGACGAACAGGAAGAGCTAATTTTTTTTTTATTTGATTCTGGTTTTAATTGTCTCTATGTATATAGGTAAAATGATGTTCAATGATCTTCTAACAAAATAAAATCATGTTTTTATTCACTTAAAATGAAAGATTTTTCAATTTAAATGGCATTCACGGACACGGTCCTCCTGTTGTTCATCGATTTTGCTCGAGCGGGCTCAGTAACGTCTCCATTGTGACAATTGTTACTGTGTTTGGCACATCGAATACGACACGGGTAGCTTGCCAGGCTTTGCCATGCAGCGAGATACTCTCGGTAACTTGCCAGGTTCTCCGAGAGGGGCGGAGGAATCGAACTTGGGTTGGCCATATTGGCTGCGTGCAAGGGAAACAACCTACCACTGTGCTATCACTCCAGCCCTAAATGGCATTAATATTTATGAAATACATCAAAACCACAATTCATTATGATAATTTAAAATGTTTGGCCTTATAATGCAGTGTTCAGTTATTACTACTGGCTATGTGCTCAGGGATCATGCCTGGTAGTGCTTGAGGCAATCTAATCTAGGTCATGCACCAAGATATGCCTCTTACCTGCTGTACTATATCTCCAGTCTCCAAATATCCAGATATTATCCTGTTCAGACCCATGAGTAGGTATTGAGTTGAGCAAAAGAACTGAGATAAAGTTGAAATTTGTCTCTAGTTATTCAAACCTCTCACTTCTCCCCTGAATCTACACCTTCTCTCTACCTGCCATGACTAGTTCATCCATAATCTCTCTCTTTCTACTTGGTACTTATTCTGGAGAATCACCTGAAATCCTGACTCCATCACAGTTTTTTCTCCATACAAACCCTGTGTCTCCTGACACTATAGATTCCCCTAGCTTTGACACTAAGGCATTCTACAGACTCTCTAAACCATCTAAATCTACTTGTAGCTTTTTCTGGTGAGAGAACTTTATGTTAGAAATCTATAAATTTCCTCTAAAGAAAACTAATAGAAAGATGGAAAATACAGAAAACCAAGAAATATGGCTAAGTTCCTCTCATACCCTTACCAAAGAAAGAGGCTTTCCACTGATTTATCAGAGAAGATAGTCTGTTGTTTTAAGTAACAAAATCCATTACCCAATATATAGCTACTGACTGAGGACTCACCTGTACAAGTACAAAGACTCTGCCTCCCTTTCGGTTCCTGAGGAAAAGCAAGACCAAGTTAAACCTAAGAAGTCTTTCTTCCTCTTTCTATGTTGACTCCTGTATTCTTTTTTTACTGTAGGGTACTTTTAAAACCAGAGCCATGGTTTCTGGAACAATGTCGAAAAAGAAGAGAGGATCTATATGTGGTGACAGAAACTGTGGAAGTGACCAACAGTCCTCAGCTGCGTGTTGAAAGTGGTAGAAAGTGGTTTGGAAAATTCTCCATTCCACATACCTCTTATTTCAAGGTATATATCCTTCTTAATGGGGATTGGGAACTCCAAAATCACAACTAACCCAGTGGGGACATTTTTTGGGGGGATCGAAGGGGTCGTGACTTTCCCCCCACTTATCATGTGCCAAGAAAACCTAATTGAGAAGAGAGTATATTCCAGTATCCTCATGGTTAGGATATTATATGAAAATTATTGAGTGGGTAAAGGTAAATTCTGGAGAATCTAAAGTTTGGAACTTTTGTGCCATATTAAAATGTAATTTTACCACTTAAAGTAATGAGAGGTCACTAACATGGTTTCTTAATGGTTTAAGTATCCTAAATACAGTGCTTATCCTGAGCAGAAATATTTTGAATAAAACTTGAAAATGCTTGAGCACATTTGATTTATATCTCATCACAATCACTAAGTTTTTTGTTTATTTATCTATTTTGATTTGAGACCAGCATCAGGATGTGCTCAGAGCTTAATTCCTGACTGTGCTCAAGAATCACAACTGGCAAGACTCAAGGTACCATATACATTTCCTGGGATAGAATCCATTTTAACTGCATAGAAGATAAGCACTTTATTTGCTGTACTGTTTCTTCAGCACCTACCCATAATATTTTATTTTAAGAAAACACTGTTGGGAACTATTTAGTCAACACCAACAAAGATGCACTTTATCAAGCATTGTTGCAAAATTTGGATGTTAAATCTGTGGGTTTCTGCTTGAAGGGTGCTCTGACTTTGTGAGACCAAGAGAGAGACTCTGAGGGTTTTATTCAGGTTTCTGCTTAGCCCTGTGCCAAGCATCACTGTCCCAGCTCTTCATGACCAGTCAGGGATTTGTTAATTCTCATGAGAGTTCTAGGTTAATTTGATCTTTAAGTTTATAAGGACTTCATACTGCATGACCTGATTTCTCTCTCAGGGTCAAGGCCAGGTAACTGGTGACAAGAAGAGAGAACAGTTACTGACTTTACCAGAGAATATGGTGATGGCGTATCAGACAAAGCAGCTGATTTTTAAGAAGGATGGCTGGGGTAAGCTGATGCTGAAGGAGTTGTTGTGAGAGGGACTTTGCTTCTCCAGTAAGGAAAACTATCAACATGCAACCTAGACTTCTTCAGGGAGAAGAAGAGGGATAGAGGAGAAACATTTTTCAGCTGTAAACTGCCAAGCAAGCACATAAGCTATAATCCAGAGTCACCTTCAAGGATGTCCCTACTGAAATGTTTCTATATTCCCATGGGAAGATAAATTAAGATAGACAAAAGGGAATCAATATGAAGGTTTTTATAGCACTGGGCAAATTGTGACACAAATCTCCACTATCTCTGTTTTTCCAAAGCCCACCCCTCTCAGTGAAAGCTCTTCCTAAGTTACCTTCATCCCAATGTTAATGCACAATCACAAATAAAACTGCAGGGGGATGGAGAGATAGCACACAGGGAAGGGTGTGCTGTTTAACTGACCCAGGTTCAATCCCCATATTGTCAGTCCCCTGAGCACTAATTGCAATGATCCCAGAGTGCAGAGCCATAGTAGGCCCTAAGCACTGCTTACATACCCCTTAAACAAATAAGTAATCAAAAGGAACCCCAAACCAAACAATACTGTAGCAATTGCAATCGTGGCCAGGTTCTGTTGGATTTAAAAAAGTCCTAAGGCTTTATGACTCTTGAGATAAAGTACAGAACTAAATCAGGAACAGAAAGTGAGCCTGTTGGACCAGACCAGAAACTTCTACACTTTGGGATTGTATCACCCCAGGAACGGCTGCTTGCTGCTTGCGCTGAGACTAGTAGCTGTATTAAGCTCATCAAGACCCAAATCTGTTTTTACCTTAGTCTAGGATAACATTGGTTTGTCCTTACTGCCTTGCCTCAGGTAGCTTTGGTTTATTGGGTTACTACCATCACAGTGCTCCCGTTCCTCTGAGTTTATTTGTAACTTCTTTCTTTGTGCTCTGTTGACTTATTAATATTGCTTTTCTCTTCTCCTTAAGTCCTTTTTTGCATAGTTAATTCAGAGCTTTTGTATGGACACAGGAAGACAGTTAATGCTATGCTTTTGTAACTTGGGAGTTAATTGACAGAATGATATTCACTCCTGGACAGACATCTGTTCTCTTGACTTAAGCCTCAGTCGCCCTTACTTCCTAGTACCCCAAAAGCAGGGACCCGATGAGGAACTGGATGAACCCAGGACAAGCAGTGAGCTACCCTGGCATCGAAATGGGCCTGGCCAAAGTGACATAATACTTAAGTATAAGTTAAGAGCATGGTCATGGACAAATTCTGTCATGATCCAAAAGGTAATAACTAGATTCGGACCCTGCTAGGGTTAGGAATGTTTAATCCAGCCTGAGCACTGTAGCCTGAGTCTGTAGCAAGATGTCCCAGGAGAGCCACTCTATAAGCTTAATGTATCTCTTCCTGTGTCCATACAAAATAACTAATATTAAGAAGTAGAATTAAGATGTTAATTAAGTTATTGGACTAAGAAAAAGAGAAAAACACCTTAGGCGATATTTCCACTATTCATCTGTAAACTGCAGAAGCAAACATCAGGAAGGGTCTTTGATATGTTGATTCTGCTAGCCCCAATGCTGAATATATATATATATATATATATATATATATATATATATATATAGAGAGAGAGAGAGAGAGAGAGAGAGAGAGAGATGCGGCTGAGACTGGAACAGGTGCATGAGAAGAATGGAATAAATGGTAACTGATCATCAACCAGCTTGGCCCTTGCTTCCTCCTTTGTCCACCCATGGCATGGGCTGTCCTGGATGGGAGAGTGGCCAGAGTCCACCGAACATGGTCGGTGAGAGGGAGAGTCAACCAGGGTCTCCCTATCTGCCTGGAGATTTCGCACCTTAGTGAGTGCTAATATAAAACTGATATTCTGGAAGTCCTTCATGTTATGCTCCCTCCTGCCCTCAGTTAGTGTCTTCTGCCTGATACTGACTTGCCAGATTTTCTGTTTCTTTTCTTTTAGTTTCTGTTTCTCCCTTCACCCCACACTGGTAAAGGACTCCTTCACTCTGGAATTGAATAAGGGTCTACCTTCCACATAGTTGAGTTTCTCTGAAGTGATGCTTGTTGGTTAATGAATTTTCTTATTGAGACCCCCCCCAGTTCAGTGCGGTGGGTAGTTGGGGAGGGGGTGTCTGGGGAAGTAGCAGACTTAGGGACAAGCCTCCATACAGGCAATCAGATTGGTGTGTCAAGATTTGCTCTGTCTTCGTAGACTGTTTCTGATTTCTGAACTCACCTTGGAAGCACTGGTCCAAGAGTTAGCTGGTGGAGTGCTCTTCAGTTTTCATAATAGAATTTCAGACATACAATGCTCCAACACCAACTCCATCACTGATGTGATCTTCCCTCTACTGATGTCCCCAGCTTACCTCCTTTGTTCTGTTTTCATGTATTCTTTGTGGATAAACACAGAGGAGCATTCACAGCACACTCCTTTTTGATATTTTTTTTGCCCCACCCTTTTCTTACCTCTCTGATTCACAGGGTCTTTCCTGTTTTGACCACACACTTAGTTCTCTGACATCTCATAAACCTCGGGGCCAGAGTGATAGTGCAGTTGGTAAGATATTTACCTTCACGTGGCCTATCCAGATTTGATCCCTGGCATCCCATATGGTCCGCTTAGCACCACCATGAGTGATTCCTGAGTGGGGTGGCCCACAGACAGAACAAAATGGACCCTGCATAAGGCATTCTCATAAACCAACTGTTATTAATGAACTCAAAACTCCCTCTCCAGACATTCCCTCCTTTCATCCTCTGACCCACACAGCCAAATTCCTTAAATAATGTATGACGCTATCCTCATCTTCTCCCTAGCACCCATTTCTCCACAAACTCAGTCTATCTTTGAGTGGGTTTATTCCATGTAAGTCATCAATAATTAGCACAACTTTGATTATTCTTTTCTTGTCACTCTCTTCTCTCTGGAAATCATGATTGATGTAGTTTTCTTTCTTAAAAAAATATTTGACTGGGGCTATGGTGCCGCCAGCAGGTCAATTTGTAGCTGTGAGGCGAGTGCATCAGAAGTCTGATGGCACCTTCAGATTTCCAGATACCCAAAACTTGCTGCTGTGCCTTTGGCCAGACCCCCAAAACTTGGGGCAAAGTTTACCAAGAAAGTAAACAGCCAAAAGTTAGGTATGTGGGAGACACACCCACAAACCACCTCCTGCTCAGCTATATAATTGGAGGCATGACCCCTCTGGTTCCTGATTGAACTGCTTAATGGCCATGATCCCAGAGACTCAGAAATAAGTCTCGAAACCCAATGGCTTTTGGCAGAAATGCGTCCGGTCCCTGCAGTAGTTTACTTGCGCTGGGCCACCACAGTTGGGAATAGGTTTCGTGCCTTGGTCTGTTCCCCCTGGCGGCCCAGTGGCCGTCGTCCTCCAGAGGCCATTGGACAGTCAGGTTTGGGCCTGCAGTGACGAGACATGCGGGGCCTCACGGGATGGGGGTGGATCCGGCCCTTTCCTCCCCATCCCAACGAGAACCTGAGTGACTGCCCACAAATGGCCTCTCTGGCTCCTGATCAAGCTGTTTAATGGCTATGATCCCAGAGACTGAGAAACAAATCTCAAAACCCAGCAGCTTTTGGCAGAAATGCCTCTGGTCCCTACAGTAGGTTACAGGTGCTGGGCCACCCCAGGTGGGGGTAAGGGTGCTGTCCCTCTGCCTGCTCCCCCTTGGCGGCTCAGTGGCTGCTATCCGCCAGTGGCCATTGGACAGTCAGGTTTGAGCCCGCAACGAGGCATGCAGGGCCTCATGGGTTGGGGAGGGAGCTGGCCCTTTTCTCCTCACCCCAACAAGACTGCGAGTCACCGCTCATGAACTGCCTCTCTGGCTCCTGATCAAATTGCTTAATGGTCATGATCCCAGAGACTCAGGAACAAATCTCAGAACCCAGCAGGTTTTGGCAAGAAATCCCTCTGGATTTAATTGTTAAAATTTAGGAATTTCAAAATCGTGAGGCCACTACTGCAGCCACACGACATCATATGTTATTCATAACCAGCAATAGAAAGCAAATTGTCTACTGTTGCCTTTTTGGCAGATCTGAGTGTTGGGGTAAAATACCAAATAATAATGGTGGGTGTGGTGATGAAATGTTGAATGTAATCAAAGTATAGAGAGAGTAATTTGGAAATCATCTGCCCCACAGGTAGGGGAAGGTGTGGGATGGGGGTATACTGGGGTTTTTGTGGTGGATAATGGGCACTGGTGAAGGCATAGGTGTTTCATTGTATGACCGAGACTTAAACCCGAAAACTTTGTAACTGCTTTCACGGTGATTCAATAAATAAAATTATAAAAAATGGGGCAAAAAAGCAAGGTGGAATACATGCACAGTTCAATCAGCCTAATTAGTGGCTGAATAAATAGCAGTACTCCAACATAAAAAAAATTGAAACTTTATTTAATCAACATGATTTACATAATTGTTCATAATACAGTTGTTCAGGTATTCAATAGCTCAACACCGATTCCACCACCATTGTGACCTTTCCTTTACCAATATTCCCATCCCAGGTAGTGACCCTGCAAAGCCTGCCCTTTTGACAGGCACAAAATAATTTACTTCGTATTGCTTGTTAAAACATATATCTCTAACGGTGTTACTAAAGTCATTGTTCAAAGAATTATGTTCTAGTTGATTCTTCTGTGTTGTTTTTACTCATGGATCTTATTAGTGGGCTTCTTTTTCTTTTTTCCTTTTTTTTTGTTTTTTATTTTTTGAACACACTCCATGGTGCTCAGAGGTTATTCCTGACTTTGCACTCAGGAATCACTTCTGGCAGTCCCAGGGGACCATATGGGATTGTGGAGATCAATGCCGACTCAGCACATGTGAGGAAAACACCTAACATGCTGTACCATTGCCCTGGCCCCATAAGCTTACTGGGTTTCTATACAACTTTCCCATCTGATTTTATGTGCTCCTACTGGGTTGTCAGTTCTGTGAAATTTGTCTGTGGTCATATGCACAGCTGTGGAACTGGAATAATTCAGCAGCATGGAGTCTCAGCTGGGCTATTTATTATACTGGCAGATGTCAGGTTCGGGTGGAGTGCTGGGCCTTTTGATAGGCTGGAGACTCAGCCCACCCCCATCTCAAGAAGGGTCCAGAGATGTGAGCCTGGAGACTTTGCCTACTTGGGACTCTAGTTTATTTAGAAACATTTAGTCTTGAGTGTTGGACAATTTTCATATCTCTCTATTTGATATTTGAAATCATGCAGAAAACAAAGAAAAATTAGGCTTAGAGCATGAAGAGAGAGATTCGAGGAAAGTGAGATGAATGTCCACAGAAGTCACTCCTTAGAAGGAGGAGGAGGAGGAGGAGGAGGAGGAGGAGGAGGAGGAGGAGGAGGAGGAGGAGGAGGAGGAGGAAGATGATTTTCTTTTAAAGGCAATTCTCTGTTAAAGTCCACAATGATCCCTAGATATAGATTATTATTATCTTTTTAAATTTTATTTTATTGAATCACCGTGAGATACAGTTACAAGCTCTCATGTTTGGTTACAATCACACAATGATCAAACACACATCCCTCCACCAGTGCACATTCCCCACCACTATTATTCCCAGTATACCCCCCCTTTCCCACCCTCCTCCTTCCTCCATGACAGACAGTATTCCCCATACTCTCTCTCTACTTTTGGGCATTATGGTTTGCAATACAGATACCGAGAGGTTATCATCTTTGGTCCTTTATCTACTTTTAGCACACATCTCCCATCCTAACCAATTCCTTTAACCATCATTTTCTTAGTGTAGATACAGATTATTTAATAAATATTCTGGAATCTTTTTAAGACTGTCTTTCTGAATTTTGACAGAAATTCTAGGAGGATCAGAGTGAATGTGAGAGAATACAAGGGGTCCCTTTACACTTAGGAAAGTAGCCTTGGAAACTATGCAGGTGAAGGGATGAGAAAGATTCTCTAAGAGTGTTCTGGACAAACTCAACCTGGAAAAAAATGAAGAAGATGACTTTTTTTTTTGCCTGACCAGTGGTGCTTAGATCTTACTCTTGGGTCTGTGCTCAGGGATCACTTATGGAAATGCTCAGAAACCATAATGCAGTGCTGCGGATTGAACCTGGGTTGGTCTCATGCAAGGCAAGCACCTTACCTGTCACACTATATTTCCAATCCATGACCTAGATTCTTTCCCCCTCTAGAGATTCTTCTCATCAAGGATAAAAAGCAGATGACCTTTCCATATGGTGAGTTTAAGAAGTGGCCGTTTATTTTTTACTTACCCTCATTGTTAATATATGACCCCTTTAGAAATCTATATACCTCTGTAGAGCCAGAGACCCACAGAATCTTCCCCTTGTGTGAATCTTTCTTTCCTTTGACCCTGGCCCAGACCCTTGTGTTTCCCCAGGCAAGCCAACCTTTCTTGGAAGGCTGAGGTGGATGTTGTATATTGAGGTGTGAGGGTTTCCTGGGTTTCATCTCAGTCTAAATTCTAAGGTCTTCTATTTTTTCTCCTGCAGAAGAGATTCAACGAAGGATGAGTAAGTGACAAAATCTAAGATGTACAGAGGAGTAAAAAATAGTGGGTGATGGAGGGAAAGAGGTATAAAGAGATTCAAGTGGGAGGGGAGACTAAAACCTAAAGGAGTCACGAGCTCTTTTATTTCTCTTTTCAGGGGTAGCACCTGGGTTTATTGGTAAGATTGTTTTGGTTGTTGTTGTTGTTAATTTTAATGTGTGAAGATGAAATGGGATTCCTCTACCATGTCCTCTACCACTGCCTACAGATCACTACAAAACCACACCTCGTAGCCTTTGCTGTCTTTTTGTGAGACTTTGAAATATGGGCCTCTGGGTAAAGAAAGGCAGGGCAGATTGAAAGAAGGGGCTTGGGGAAGTTGACAGTAGAAGATCTGAGGAACTGGATGTCTTTATTACTTTCTATTGGATTGTGATTTTGATTTCTCTGTTTTAGGTCACAAAGTGGGACTTTGTCAATATGTGTATGTGTATTTGATGCGGTGGGATCCTTTTCTGCACATATTGCTGAGCAGGAAGTTGTCCTTGCTTCTACCATGTGACATTGTTTACAGGGAACTTCTGAAAACCTACTTAGTGAACTTGGTTGTCTTTATATATAAGACTTTGATTTCCGGGCCTCTGGGTAAAAAAAGGCAGGGTGGATTGATGGAAGTGGTTTAGGGATGTTGAGGGCAGAACATCTGAGAAATTGAGTGCCTCATACTGAATTGTGAATTTAATTTCTCTTTTTTAGGTTATAGAAGTCAGATTCTGCCAATACGTGAGTGTGTATTTGATGGGGTGGGAGCCTTTTCTACACAGATCTGTTGAGTAGAAAGTTGTCTTTGCATTTGTAACCACTGCCCTCGGGTTTGATCCTAATTTCTGTAGATGGAAAGGTCTGTGAGGTCTTAGGAGGTAGAGGATATAGAATGGGATGGGTAATGAAGAGAAGGCTTGGTTGAGGGAGAACATGGTAGAAGTCCAGAACCTCTGGAGACTAAAAAGCACATTTATGGACGAAGAGAGACATTATCACTTTTATTCTCTTTCCAGAAAGAATAGAGGAGCCTTCAAATAAAGGTGAGTGTTTATCAAAAGAAATTTCAGAGCTCTGAATGGAAAATTGCAAGACTCCAGGACTTAAATTAGGAGCCATTATGCAAGCCCCTTAGTTAGCCTTGCTATTTTCCTTCCTTCCTTCCTTCCTTCCTTCCTTCCTTCCTTCCTTCCTTCCTTCCTTCCTTCCCTCCTTCCTTCCTTCCCTCCCTCCCTCCTTCCTTCCCTTCTTCCTTCCCTCCCTCCCTCCCTCCATCCCTCCCTCCCTCCCACCTTCCTTCCTTCCTCCCTTCCTTTCCTCCCTCCTTCCTTCCCTCTTTCCCTCTCTCCTTCCTTCCTTCCTTCCTTCCTTCCTTCCTTCCTTCCTTCCTTCCTTCCTTCCTCCCCTACTTCCTTCCTTCCCTCCCTCCCTCCCTCCTTCCTTCCTTCCTTCCTTCCTTCCCTCCCTCCCTCCCTCCCTCCCTCCTTCCTTCCTTCCTTCCTTCCTTCCTCCCCTCCTTCCTTCCTTCCCTCCATCCCTCCCTCCCTCCCTCCCTCCTTCCTTCCTTCCTTCCTTCCTTCCTTCCTTCCTTCCTTCCTTCCCTCCCTTCCTCCCTCCCTCCCTCCCTCTCTCCTTCCTTCCTTCCATCCCTCCATCCCTCCTCCCTCCCTCCCTCTTTCCTTCCTTTCTTCCTACATTCATTCATTCATTCATTCATTCTCTCATACATTGGCGAACAAGCACTTCTTAGGACTTATTGTGGAGCAGGTAAAATGATGCAGCCAACATGACATGTCAGTCATGGAACTCTGATTACAGGGAACGAAAGGAAATGAAATGGAGAAATGCATTTCCTTTCAAGCTTCCTCTCACTCTCATCAGATAAACATTATAAAATATTAAACCATTAAACAAATATTATTTAATTATAGTTTAGGTCACTTGTTTGCAGTAGTGTTAGAATTTGTGGCTTTGCTTTATACAAATACCTCATCTCATACCACTAAGGTTCCCAAGACACCTCAATGTTTTCCTTTTATCTAATCCACCTCATCACTGCTTTCCTCCCCTTTTTACTTCATATTCTCAGTTCCGTAATACAGGGCCATGGTTGGTTATCATTTGGTAGTGTCTATTCCCTTGTTTTATTTCTATGTATACCATCGATGAGTGAAATAATCCAGTATTTGTCCTTTCCCTTGTATCTTGTTTCATGTCCTTCCCCTTAGAATTAATTTCACTTAGCATATGTCTGTAGCATTTAAGTTCATCAGGTCTTTTGAGGATACCCCAGACAGGAGGCAACACCTAATTGATTAATCAGTAAGAAGATAGACAATACAGGAAGAAGTGGATGAGCTCATGTGTACCATGTTTTATTCCAAGGTTTTCAGACAAACAATTAAATCCTCACTTCATTGATGTGGAAAGGGAGTCCCTGAGTTCCTAAGAACCTCTAAGACTCTAGTCTAAAGACAGAATTCCCATTATTTCAGACATGTCTCTAATCAATTCTTCTCAACTTCCAATCATCTTTTTTCAGAATGTCCATCTCTGTTCTCTAATTCAGCTTGTGATTTTCATCTATCTAACTTATTTGATTTCTCCATCCTGGAGCTCAACTGCAGAGATAGGTTTGGTCATCAGTTGAAACAAATAAAAGTGTCTACCTCATACTAAAGGAGCAGGACATATCATCATAGGCAGACTCTAATTAATGAGTTGTACTATTTTTCTGGTTAATGTTGATTTCTGAGATCAGATTTTAAGCAACTACAAGATGAGATTTCCAGAAGAATGGGAGAACTATCCCAATTTTCAAAGAATGTTCAGGATATTTTATTCCATAATATTTTGGTCATGCTTGGGGATCGGGAGGCTCTTCAGGACCTGCAGGATATGGTGAGTACATTCCATGGTCACTTTGAATGGAACCTATAAATCTGGAAGACTTGAATATTCTCATACTTAGATAAATGATAAGGGGGGCATAAAAGGGATGATGCAAGGAATATGAGAAGGATGCCAGTAATTAATAATTTGTGCTCTTGTCCCAGGCAAAATAACGAGGGCTACTAGTATCTTCCTCTGTTCCTCTCAGAGAGCCCGGCAAGCTACTGAGAGTATCTTGCCAGCACGGCAGATCCTGGCAAGCTCCCCGTGGCATATTCGATATGCCAAAAACAGTAACAGCAAGTCTCACAATGGAGACGTTACTGGTGCCCGCTCAAGCTTTTTATGCACAATGGGAGGACAGTGCTACAGTGCTAGTATCTTTATATCCTAAGACTGATTGGAATCTCCCAGAGGAGGTGGAGCTCTCCCTGCCCCCATTTCTTAGTGGAGCAATTACATACTCATAAGACAGAAGCAGAATTAATATTGTTTTTATTCTACAATAATTATTATTGATAAAAATAGCATTGCTACCAATATTATTAATTGCTATTATTGATAACAATAATATTGGTTGCTATTATTTATTATTATTATTATTATTAACAACAACAGCAATATTGTCTTCCACAGATAGAACAATTTCCCCAGGGTGATTTGAATGGCCCTGGTGGAATCATTCTAAATGAACTGAGAAAGAACAAAGAAGATTTATTGGTTTTTGCACCATATTGCATCCCTTATCTCCTTGAAGCCTTGCTGGGTAAGAATGAGTTGGGAAATTGAGTGGAAGAGTCACAGTTTTGTGAGCAGCCCCTACCACCAACCGCAGACTCCCTGAAAGGGAGACTTAATTTTTGTTTGCTTTGGGGTGACACCTGGTGATATGTACAAAGGGTATACTCCTGTATCAGTGCTCAGGGGACATGTGAGAAAGGGTTAGAATATGGGTCCCCTGCATGCAAAGCATGTGATCCTTTAGTAAAAGGAGTATTTCATTAATTTTTTGTTTATTTATTTATTTTTTGGCCCACATTAAGCCATACTCAGGCTTATTTCTGGCTGTGCACTCAAGAATTACTGCTGGTGGATTCAGGAGGCCATTTGAGATGCCGTTAATTGAACTGATTGGCTGCATGCAAAGCAAACTCTGTGCTCTCACTCTAGCTAAAAAGGAAGATTTTAAATATCATCTGTTCAATGCCTTTAAAATATTATGACTTTATTTTCTCATCACATCATACTCAAGGGCTCACTCTATAAGTTAATCATTTAACACAGAGCCTGAGTCTAAGAAGCAGCATCCTGATTTCATTCATCAGATTATTGATTGAGTGTTCAAGTTTCTGGTGTCAGAACCCCAGACCATGGAACATGATTTGTTGCTCTTGGAGATCATCCCGAAAGAAGAAAGACAACATTCTATGGTCAGAAATTTGCTCTTCAGGGTCTGGAGAGATAGCACAGTGGGTAAGGCATTTGCCTTGCATGCGATCAACCCCAGGTTTGATTCCCAGAATCCCATATGGTCCCCCCAAGTACTGCCAGGAGTAATTACTGAGTGCAGAGCCAGGAGTAACCCCTGTGCATCGCTGGGTGTGACCCCCCCCAAAAAGAAATTTGATCTTCAAATCAAAAGACTTTCATTCCTTTGCCTGTAAAAGTTTCCCTCCCAAAGATAATTTTTGTTCATAGTAGGGGAGAAGACATATTCCTCACTCTTTCCCCATATCTCATTGCTCTCAGTGCTCAATGACACCCAACAGGATCTGCTGGCATGGTCCATGGAAAAGAAGATCCTAGTTCATCAGCGGGAGCTGGTGAGAAATCTTCAAGGACCAGCATCCTGGGAGGGGAGGGAGGGTACCTGGGGTAAGAAGTAATCTGAGAAGGAGAAATCATTCAGGTTTTGTGCATAGAACAGAATCCATCCTATGTGGTCCTTAGAAATTTCTGACTCATTTCCCTTGAGAGAGCAGACCAAATGGGTATAAGTCTACCTTAGAGGGTCTCAGTTTCCATGCCAAGCCCCTCAGAGAGTCCCCACAATTCTAAAATATTCACACAAGGATAGACAGTTCGGGAACTCAGAAGGCCTGAATTAAACCTTGCTTTAGTTATGGAGTCAATAATTTGTAAAATTCTTTTTCATACTTTTTATACGTATATATTCTTACGTATGTGTAAATATAAGCACAAACATGCACATGTTATACATATCTACATGGTATTGAAAAAAATGCAAGAAAAGTGCTAGTTTCGTTATTTAGTAGCCCATGCTCAATGACACAGCCAGGATTGACTCATCTTTCCTTTGCATAGCCTTGGGACAGAAGACTTTCTTTCCCCAACCCCAAAGGCTCACCCCAAATACTGTTTCTTTCAGGTAAGGAGTATCTTGGAGCCCAACTTCAAATACCTTTGGAGAATTCCTTTCACCCTTAAAGAAGAGCTTCTTACCCCACTGCAGGATGAAGGTGTGGCTGTCACCTACAAACTGCTGGAGGAGTGTGGCCTAAAGATTGACCTAAATAGCAATAGGTCAGCCTGGGATCTGGAAGCCAAGATGCCACTGTCAGCCCTGTATGGATGCCTCTCACTGCTTCAGCAGCTGGCTGTGGCCTAAATTCTCCCTGGGTTGGGGGTGGGTGATGAGTCAGTTCAGGGAGGGCGGGGACTACTCTTATAGGCTCTGATGTTCTTGGGGGAATTCAAGAAACCTATCTTTCCTGGTGGGAATCAGCAAAGACTTGGGGGATTTGCGTCTGTTTATGCATGAGTACTGTGGTGGAACTTGTGAAATAGTATAGCACCGTACAGCACTGTACTCCTGTTGTTCGTCAATTTGCTCAACTGTGCCGAGTAATGACTCCATTGTGAGACTTATTGTTACTGTGTTTGGCATATTGAATACGTTAGGGGTAGCTTGCCAGGCTTTGCCATGTGGGCGAGATACTCTCAGTGGCTTGCCAGGCTCTCTGAGAGGGGCAGAGGAATCGAACCGGGTTAGCCAGGTTGGCTGGGTGCAAGGCAAACGCCCTACCACTATGCTATCGCTTCAGCTCTGTGAAATAGTATGTTAAGGAAAAATTTTTCATCAAATTTAAATGTTGCATACATCTAGTATAAATGAAAATTGAATGGTGGTCAATGATAGACATTTCGAATCATTTTCAGTGGAGTGTACTCAAGTGAGTGAAGCGAAGTGTCATTAACTTGCTTTAAAAGTACAAAGAAAATAAAGTAGGTTGATGAAAGCGTGATGATGAGCACCACAGAAGGGTAGTGATAATATCATCACGATCACGATCATCCTGTTGTTCATCGATTGCCTTGATCAGGCACCAGTAACGTCTCCTTTGTCCTAGCCCTGAGATTTTATCAAACATCTTTTCAGACCACAGTGCTATGAATGTTGAAATTAACCATAGTAAGAACATGGGGGAAAAGCGCTAATACTTAGATGCTGAACAAAACTATAACTGAGTCGCAGGGAGAAATCACAACAGGCTTCTTAGAAATACAAAAGATCATTTATAAATGATTATGAACAGCTCTAAATTGTTAAGCTGGAATTGCTTAATTCTCTTCAGTCTTTTATATTTGAATGGTTTATATATATTTTACGTAAAATTTAAAATAGATTCTTACTGAATTATTCTTAATATCAATTTGCATTCTTATAAAATGATATAAAATTTGAAAAATATTTTCTCTGAACTTTGCATCAACATTGATGTACAATTTTGTGAGTGTGTGCAGCTGTTATCACCTCCACAATTAAAAAAAAGAAAGTGATCTCCCCCAGCATTTGGATTAAAAAGGAGATGTAATAAAGGAAAAACAAATGGTTAATGTTATCCAAACTAGGGGTTGGAGCGACATTGAAGGTGTAGGGTGAAAAAAAAAAGTTATATAGATGGAACATGATGGCCACTTAACACTGCATTTCAGACCACAACACCCTAAAGGAGAGAGAGAATGAAAAGGGAATCCACCTGATACAGAGCCTGGGGTGGGGGTGGATGGGAGGGAGGGGGGAGGGGGGATGTCAAGATATTTCTAATATCTCAACCTTCTTTTGTGGTTGACAATGTTAGGAGTTTCGCTTCAATATGCTAAAAACCATAGTTGGAAAGAAACAACCAGATATAAACTATGAGTACATGTCTCCCAAGAAAACTGGGGCAGCATGCCCCAATAGAAACAATTGACTCAGGAATCACACTATCTGACTTGAAATTCCGTATCTTCCCCCAATGGATCCATTATTTAATTTCTTCAAATCTTAGTATTTTCATCTAAAAAGTAATGACAATTATTTGTAATTCACAACAGCTATGAAGGATCACTTACCAGAACTCATAGCCCTTTTATTTGAGAAACGTTTAATAATGTTTTAGGCACTGTGTTGATTAACACTGGTGAGAATAACACACACAGCTATAACACTCACAGAGCTTCATAAAGGTAATAGATATTATGAAGCAATAATTTTTAAGTATTGTAAAATGTGTAGTATGTAATAGGTATTTAATAAGTAGCTTTTCTTCTTATTTTCTTTCCTGAGTCCCAGTTGATGGTAGCAATTTTTCTAAAACATCCCATTTTTCTTGGATAAGTCATTTATATCACAGTCATATTATGTCTCTATTTTCTGACATATACACAAACATTTTGAACATTGCCTATTCTTTTTAACACAAATACTCAAGCAGAGTACTTTAGGACTGGCTGTTTTCTGGAATGGGAAATAGGGAAATTCCTGGCAACATGACCCTGAAAATATGATGAATGGCTTAAATTGAGAAGGGAAAATCTTCTAAGATTCTTCTAATTCCTTGTCTTTTAAAGAACATAATATAATTTTCAATTTGCTAATATTATCTGATGTTAGTCACTGTTCATAATGAATTTGAGAAAGCAAGTCATCAAGTGTTAATGGGTCTATCCACAATTTTTCAGTCAATGATATATGCACATATTCACTTCAGACCTGCATGGAAGGGAATGAAAAAAATTTCCTTCCAGATTTTCTTTGCCTCTTCATCAACAAGGGCTGGAACGATAGTACAGTGGGTAGGGCATTTGCCTTGCAAGCAGCCAACATGGCCGACCCAAGTTCGATTCCTCCGCCCCTCTCAGAGGTATCAACAAGCTACCGAGATTATCTCGCTTGCGCTGTGAAGCCTGGCAAGCTACCCATGAAGTATTCGATATGCCAAACACAGTAACAATTGTCACAATGGAGACATTACTGGGCCCGCTCAAGCAAATCAATGAATGACGGGAGGACAGTGACAGTGACTTCATCACCAAAAACAGATTCATCTCCCTTTTTGCCTGTCAAATAGCAAATAAAACTCTCAAGCTATTCTGAAACCCAGTGAGGATGAATGATTATGAATTTTGATAGTAATCAGAAAACTATAGCAATTTTGAAGGGTTTGGCAGAGGGTATTTAAGTCATAAGACTGTTCTGCGTTTTCTTGTTGTTTTCTTTCTATCTATATGTGGCATGTTTATTTCAAATGGTAGAATGTAACAGGGAATCTCATTGCATATAAAGAAATCTAGATTCTACCAGCTCATAGGTGGTGTTTGGTAATTTCTCTTTTTATTGAATCCCAGTTTCCTCAGACATAAAACCAATGGATTCTATAAAACTTTTTCTAGATCAAAATTATAAAAAATTTTCCCTTTTCAATAATTATTGGTAACCCTTGATCACTCTTTCTGATACACTGCTTTGAACTTTATGTACATAATTTTCTAACATTCACATAAATTCCAAGATCTATAAACTTATCTTGCTCATTTCATAGGAATAAAAAATATTGCATTACCTCACTATCATAAGAAGTAAGATTGACTCAGGTTCTATTCTGATTTAACCTAAGTGTTTCTGGATTATACCTTTTTAATAAGTTTTTTACCCCTCTCATCTTAACATGAAATAATCTCTGTGACTTTACTTGACAGCTATGGTTTCAAGTTTTCCTGAGAAAGTACTTCAGTAATGCTTAAAATGAAAGGTTACGACCTAGAATAAGGAAGACACTTTTAGACAGAGAGGACTCCCTAGTACTTTTGGACACAGGGCAACTTGTCAGCTCCATTTTGAGCCTCAGTATAACCAGAAGGCAGTGATCTCTTTGGATTTTAGAGATTTCAATTTCTCTTCCAAAGTTGCTGAATGCCTGCTGTGTGCAAGCCAAAAAATAAAAAATGTCAAGGATTCTGTGCATGCATAGTTCATTATCCCCCTGAATCTAACCAGGAGACAGGTGCAATAAATTTTTTTTGTAGATGAGGGAATAAGGCTCCAACCAAAGGAAAACAATTCTAAATGCCATGCTGCAATTAAAAGACAAAACAGGAATTAGAACACAAGACAGCTGAATCCCCTCTGTTAAACATGCCTGCCTCCCAAGATGCTAATATTCCATGGTTTCTTTTAAGACTCACTCATCTTCTAATCATGAAAAAGCAGTTCTATTCAATAAACCTAGAAGTGACATGAAACATAAAGTGATGAAAGCCAGACAGAAAGCAAGCAGAGTAATTTAGACATGGATGTTTTCTGGAGTGGGAAGCAGGGAAATTCCTGGCAATGTGACCCTGAAAATAATAATGAATGGCTGCGATTGAGAAGGAAGACTCTTCTAAGAATCCTGAAATGAGATATTTTCTCAAACCCCACCTATGGCCAAAGGTAAATCATGATCAGAAAAGATGCCAATCTCCAGGAAATTCGTGCTGGAAAAATTTCCTGGCATTAGGGAGCTTGCCAACATTTCTAGTAGATTAATACAAACCAAACAACAATAATAAGAACAAAAATCTGTTCTGGAAAACAAAAGATGTAAGAAGTTGTAGCCTCAGTCTGTCCAATGACCACTGGTTCTTCATAAAGTGTTTCAGTACACATCATTCGGAATTGAAGGATAAATAGTTTTCTATTACTCAGTCCTATTTATTGTATATGTACATGCATACAGATATTTATCTATTTACAGATTTAATATTTATATATTTGGCTGGATTGATAGCACAGCGGGTAAGGTGTTTGCCTTGCACGAGGCTGACATGGCTGACCCAGGTTCAATTCCTCCACCCCTCTTGGAGAGCCCGGTAAGCTAACGAGAGTATCTTGACTGTACAGCAAAGTCTGGCAAGCTATCCATGACGTATTCAATATGCCAAAAACAGTAACAACAAGTCTCACAATTTGTTGGAGACATTACTGGTGCCTGCTTGAGCAAATCGATGAACAACAGGAGGACAGTGCAACAGTGCTACAGTGCTATTTACACATTTATGTAACACTGTAGCACTGTCCTCCTATTGTTCATCCATTTGCTCGAGCGGGCCCAGTAACATTGTGAGACTTGTTTTTACCCTGTTTGGCATATCAAACACATCACGGGTAGCTTGCCAGGCTTTGCCATGTAGGCGAGATACTCTTGGTAGCTAGCCGGGCTCTCCTAGCGGGGCAGAGGAATCGAACTCAGGTCGACTGGGTCTGCAGCATGCAAGGCAAACACCCTACACACTGTGCTATTGCTCCAGCTCTCACATTTATGTAAATATGTAAATTATGCAAATGTATATATTTACGCATTTAATATTAAG